GGCCCAGGGCCTGGAATCTCATTCTTACTAGGGTGCTTATGAGGGTCTAAGTAGATAGGATGGCAGCGGGTTAAGTACTGTCAGATTTGGTACCATAATTATTTGGAAAAGTTGACACGGGACTGCCCCTTTAACAGGTTTCCCCCTGACACACCAAATTCTAAAACCTCTTGTTATATTTCCCCATTCTTTTCCTGAAAGTTACCCATCTTATGCTTTAACAATGGGTCCAACTATTACTTTTTTAAAGTTCCTGGGGCTGGCGCTGTGGCATAGCAGGTAAAACCGCCACCTGCCTTGCCGGCATCCCATATGGGCGCTGGTTCGAGACCCGGCTGCTCCACTTCTGATCCAGCTCTCTGCTATGGCCTGGGAAAGCAGTAGAAGATGGCCCAAGTCCTTGGGTCCCTACACCCACTTGGGAGACCCGGAAGAAATTCCTGGCTCCTAACTTTGGATTGGCGCAGCTCCGGCCATTGGGACCATCTGGGGAGTGAACCAGCAGATGGAAGATCTCTCTCTCTCTGCCTCTCCTCTTTCTGTATAACTCTGACTTTCAAATAAATAGATAAATCTTTTTTTTAAAAAAAAAAAAAACAAAGTTCCTGTTTTCCTGGGAAAACTTCTTAGGACAAGATGGTGCTCCGCTGGCCTAATTCCACAGCCCTCTGATGGGAACTTGCCCCTCAGCCTTTCTGCATACCAGTTCTCTTGTTTCTAGTCCATCAAACCTTCCCACGACCCCTGACCTGAGAGACAGATTTAAATCATAGTCTCACGGCTTCTATCTTCCTCTTTGCAAAAGACCGGCATCACGCACTGTGTTGGGTACAATGGGCAGCAGACCTACCTCATGCAGTAACAACGTGGCCTGACTTATCGAAGCCATCTGAATTACCAGAGGAGCTATTTCCCGGGCTTAAAAGCCATCCAGTCTTTTTGCAGAGCTTCCGGTCAAAAAGTGATGAGCAGAAGACATACCACTGAGGTTTCAAGTAGATTCCCGGAGAGAGGTAAACAGGAAAAGCTAGAGCAAGCGTGAGTGTGTGCTTACTACAGCAGGTCCTGGGTACGTGAGGTGCAGATTTAATTCTGTTTAGTCATTACCAGGAACCTATGATTGCCTATCCCAGGCTACCTTTAGAGACCAGGAAACTCAAGAATAAAGAGTGTGTAACTTAGGGGTGACTGCTCGCTCTTTCACTCATTCATTGCATGCATCCCAGGTCCCAGGAACTGGCCTTGCTCTAGACTGCACTTGAAGTTTTCCGGTTGTCAAAGGGAACATGGGGGCTTCTCTTTCAATGGTCCACCACGGCCCGCTTCTGCTCCCAAGTCCCGAGGCTGTAGAGTGCCAGAAGACCCTGCTGCTGCTGCTCTTCTTCCCACTAGGACGGTTCACCCTGGGTGGCCATCCTTGACTATCCAGGGGGTAGAAGCTTGTTTGAGCTCATCTTCCCTCTCGGGCTGTGATTATCAGAGCTGAGACAGCCCCCAGGGAGGCTGCATTCCCAGATGAGTCAGCTGTCATCCTCGCCATTACCTAATGCTGACCTGGGCTGGGCTGGGGAAGCTGAAGTCAGCAGAAAAGCCGGCACTTACAGGTTTGGACCTCAAGGTTGCTGGAAGCAAGGGGCTGGCGAATTTCCACAGCCGTGGCCAAGTCTCCACTTGCTCACCCTGCGGAGAACAATAGGGCAGAGCAGTCTGCAACTGCCCTGCGTTAAAAGAGGCTGATCTTTCTGTGAAGGGACTCCTATTCAATTTTTCTCAGTGAGTGGTTCAGAAAGAATAGACCACCGGGAAGAGGAGAGGGAAGAAAGGGAGACTAACCTGGCTGGAGCAGGGGAGAGGGGTGCTTACCAGGAAAGCTACAGACCTAGGTTCTTGTGCCAACTCCTTACGTTCTCAGGCTAATTGCCAACACGGAAATCTTTTCTCAGGTTCAGGGAAAGACAGCAAGGTTGATCAAGACACTGGTCTTTGAGGCTGGCGCTGTGGCATAGCGGGTAAAGCCACCACCTGCAAGGCCGGCATCCCATATGAATGCTGGTTTGTGTCCTGGCTGCTCCATTTCCAGTCCAGTTCCCTGAATGGCCTGGGAGAGTCAGCAGAAGATGGCCCAAGTGCTTGGGACCCTGCTACCCTCGTGGGAGACCTGGAAGGAGCTCCTGGCTTTGGCCTGGCTCAGCCCTGGCCACTGAGGCCATCTGCGGAGTGACCAAATGGATGCAAACTTGCTCTCTCTGGCTCACCCTCTCACTCTGTAACACTGACTTTCAAATCAATCAAGAAATCCTTTTAAAACAAGAAACTGGTCTTCATGGAGAGTCAAGACGTGGTTAGCAATGGGTTAACATAGTTTCCAGTGCCAGGGATCTTCACTGCCCTGCGCTAGGAGTGATGCTGCATGTCCCTGCTGTCTTTCTTAGTAGACTTTCCGGCTTGTCGTCAGCTTGTGAAGAGAGTGTGTCCAGTCTTCCTTGGGCAGGACGTGAGCACACAAAAGCCCACTGCTCATGTGTGTCATTCTTTGCTCCCTGGATCCTCAGGGCACCCTGATCAGCTTTTCTCTCTGTTTCTTCTGAACCAGCCCCTACTCTGCCAGATAAGGGCTTCCTGCCCCCACCCCCATTCCCTCAAGGGACTCTTGACTCAGAAAGAACTCCAGGGACTCAGCAGTAAACAGACAGAGCTTCAGGTCTGCATTTCCGGTCATTAACATTTTTTGCTGTTGTTGCCTGACTTCTCCCTACCAACATCGCCATTACAGCATCCTATACTCAGTACGGGCGCTCTCTCCTCCTTCTTCCTAGAACGAAACACCAGGCTAAGACTTTCTCAACCACTCCTTATTCCCCCACATTTGGCCCTTTCTAGGTACTCAATTTATTATTTTGAAAATTGAGAAATAAAAGGAAAGGATTCAGTCCTGGCCTTTCATATCTGAACTGTATCATGGGTACCTCATACGGGTTAAGTTCCTCTTTGGAGAAGAATCTCACCAGTGAATGAGGGGAAGGGAATAACAGAACCAACAACAGGCTAATGTGTCCAGGAAGCAACAGTCAGTTCTGCCAGCATCACAACATAGAGACAACCACATGATACCTGATAGAAGTATAAGTAAATACCACTTAGGACTTTCGACAAATGTGGACCCAAATCTGATTAAGCATCTAGATCTAATTTTTAGAAAACACAAGGGACAAAGGATTCTATAGAATGCAATCAGGGGAACTCAGACTTTGGGAAAAGTTACGGGACACACAATCCAGAGATTTAGAATTTCAAGGGATAGAGAGACTCAGAAGCCAACCAGTTTCCATGTCTGGAGCTTACTTTGATCCAGGTTCAAATCAATACCAAAAAAAAAAAAAAAAAAAAAAAAAAAACAAAAAAAAACAAAAACAACAACAACAAAAAACTAGCAGGTAAATGTAGACATTGACTAGATTGTTAGTGGTATTATGGAATTGTTGATTTCGAGTTGGGATTATGCTCTTATGGCTCTTATTATCATTTTAAGAATCCTTGTCTTTTAGAGACACATAAAAAGTATATGGATGAAATCTATCTGGAATTTTCTTCAGAACAACCCAGAGGCTTCTGGGGAAAATGGGTGGGAATGAGCTGTGTGACAAGCAACTGGGAATTCATTCTACTCTTTACAGTACTTTGCATAAGGTTGAAAATTTCCACCAAAAAAATGAAAAAACAAGATCATAAGGTAACCACTGGAAGAATGCACCTGGAATGCATAACTTCCCCAAAATGAGTAGTGAAACCTGAATAAGAAAATAATCCATTGAATAAAAGTCAGAAAAAGAGAACTGGGGAAAGAATCTAGAAAGCATTTGAAGGGGAAAACACAAAATAAACAGGTAGAAATACACACAGATCTTCCAGTAATGGGAATCAATGGAAATGATTAAATTCATCTACTATAAGACAGATTGTGTTAACAATTTTAAAATTCAGCTATATATTTCTTAGATGGGAAACCTGTAAAAAATGAAAAGGAAGAAAATAAAAAACTGTCTCCTAATCAAATGATAGTAAAAACAGATTAAATAGATCAAAAAGGTAAAAAATGGAAACGTATGAGCTGGAACTAGCAGCAAAGTGGTCACTGGTGACCCTGACAAGGACCGTTCCACAGCTCAGGGGAAGCCAAATCCAGTCTGTGTTATGGTAAGTGGTGAATGGGAGGGGGAGAAGTGGGCAGGAGGAGGAGGTAGCTGAAAACCAAGCAGAGGAACTGTATCTCCGTTAGGACAAGAGGGCTACCTATTGCTTTACCATCCATTCCTTGAGCCTCTGGAAGTGCTGAGATGAAGCCACAGGAGAGGGCAAGGCAGGAGAAAGGGAGGATGGACGGAAAGCATTCGTGGAGCAGGTGGCTGGCCTAGCGGAAGAGACGCCTGTGTCCCACATCCCAGCGCCTGGGTTTGATTCCTGGCTGCGGCTCCTGACTCCAGCTTCCTGCTAATGCAGACCCTTGGAAGGCAGTGAGGACGGCTCAGCTAACTGGGTTCTTGCCGTCATACACTAGACTTGGACTGAGTTCCCAGCTCCGGGCTTCAGCCTTGGTTCAGTCCAGTGAAAGAGAGCTTCTCTATTTGTCTGTGTTTCAAATAAATAAAATTAAAAAAAAATTCCTAAGGACAGAAAGTTGAGAATGATGAGAGCCAGAACAGGCGAGATATTAGCAGCAGACAACAAGAAAACACCTTCTATTTTTATTTTATTTCTAATTTATTAATTTGTCATTACACAAACAATATATGAATGCATATTCAAAAACATCAAACATTACAGGTAAAGCTATGCACGCCACCAAACTATTGTTAACTGTTTGGTTAGTATCCTTTCAGAACGTCTCTCTATATTTATATAATACATGAACATGTACTTAAGAAGTACAATATACAGTATTTGTATGTGTTTGAATGTGCGTAGCATGTGATTGAACACCAATGGTATCTTATGTATGGTCCTTTTTTTTTTTTCCTGGAAACTTTTAATACTTAACATTGTGTCCTGGAGAGCTGCCCGTGTCAGTACATTCTTCATCATCTAATATCATATAGTGTATACCATATTCCCTATCTTTTATGGGTATTTTGCTTTTTCATATCTTACAAGCAAAGGTGCAACTGACGTCACTGAACTATCTGCTTTATGGACATAGGTGTTTCTTTGGGGTATATACTAAAAATTCAAATTACTGGGTCACAGGGCATGTGAATTTTGAATTTCCATAGATATTATCAAATTGCTTTTAAAAGTGGCCATGCCAATTTTTGTACACTTACCAGCAACATAGGATTCTTGTTCTACTGCACCCTTGCCATATCTTGATTTATGTTTTTAATGTTTGCCAGTTTGACCTGAGATAATGTCTTGTGTTCTAAATGTGCAAATTTCCTGATTTTGCTGAGGTTGAACATCTTGTTGTGACTTATTTGTACTATACTTGATCTTAGCCAAAAGGCCGAGAAGCAGTTATCGTTGTGACTTATTTGTAAAGCTATGTGCTTCTATGTGTTTTTACAGCTTTCAATTTCTATAAGGGATATGTGATCAAAAAGCAGAAGACTCACTGCTAGTCTAGCTGGAATTCATTTTTGTGCCAGAATAAATTTCTTCCCCAAATGGTGATGCTGTCTTAATACTGTTTGTTGAGGAATTAATTCTTTCCTTACTGATTTGAAATGTCACTTATACCATTTATTCAATGTGTATTTGTGTTTATTTCTGGAGTCTCAGCTCTGTTAGAGACTTCTTTTTGGCATCAGGCACCTGAGTTATTCTTGATTCATTGAATGAGAGCTGATTTTGTCAGCTAAGATTACAACAGTGTTGTTTATGAGGTGGTAGATGCTATAATTCACGACACACAACATCTATTCTAGGTAAGTTTGATTTAAATCCGTTCCATTATCTACAGACTTAGAGTATTAAAAATGTGTAAACACCTCTCTCAGATTAGTTTCTCCTCTACGGGGGACGCCTCACAGGCTCCATTAAGAGGGCAGAGGATTTGCTCAGTTGCCCTTTCTAAAGGTACTGTTTGATGGTAAAGTGTTTTGGTGATTTTAAATTGCTTCCTGGCAATGGCAAAAGGTTTCACACGAAATGGCAATATTTCTGTTGATTTATATGACTCTTACATTTACAAATGACATGAGGTCTACAAACTATGACATATACTCTGAATCAACGATACAGCACTCAAGCTTTTCCATTTACAACAGGCACAAGTCAAGTTCCAGTCACCTTGCCATCCTCATACATCTAGTATATAGGGTGCAGCACCTAAAACTGAAATAGAACTGAATTCCATCTCAACAGTGTCTCTACAAAAGAAAAAATACAACTCAAATTTCTCACAAACTTCACTTTTGGGAGTTTACAAAATTATACATTTTTTTCTGTCCATACAAGTCTGCAACCTGATCAAGTATATATGTGTAATAAAAGTAGAATTAGACACAGACTAGCTATTCTCCAAGGATACAGAAAATATTCCCTTGCACGCTCAGGTCTGATCTATCTATAGATGCACTGCTTGCCTATGAAATGACAGCAAGGACTGTGATCTAGAAAACATTTTGGATTGCAGTGGCCGAGAGTACTTTGCAGTTATCTGGAAATAAGGCAAGGATGCAAAAAAATGAAATGAAAAGGTGATTTGAACTTTTTTTGGGGGTGGGGGCATATCAAAGTGTGGCATTGCCTTGTTTTGAAACTCAGTTATTTTTATGATCTGAGTTAGCGTACCTTTCCTTTCCTTCCTTCAAAGGGCTGTCTTTTGAGGCCAAGGTCTTGGTCTGGAAACACTCTGGTCCCATGTCATTAGATGGTGGCCTGGACTGCCTATTCTGTTTCTCAGGTGGGGAAGGAAAAATAAAGCTCATTCACCAGCCAGGTTTGTAGAACAAATCCAGTGATCAAGTGGACCGTGCCAGTGCAAAATATCAGCTTATTTTTTTGTATTACTAATCCCAAAAGACTATTTTTTACTTGATGATTGTTTAAAAAAAAAAAAAAAAGAGCAAGGATGTCTGTGAACTTTAACTTGCTTTGTATGGTGCCTCACTTAGCCTTTTTCATTTATGAACACAGCAGGTCATACTAATTGTACCCTACTAGGTGAACAGCTATACAAGCACTCGTATAGCAATCCTTCCATCCACAAGGAGAACACATGCATTCAGAGAGCAGGTCTTGGGATAGAAATCGTGTGAATTGGAACTGACAATGAGACAGGGGTGTATCCTGGAATGTCTAAAAGGGTAAATACAGGTAAATCTATATTACCACGTAGTAAACTATTAGTATTGCTGTAAAAGAGAAGCATATATTAGTGGGTGGCTTGAGGCAGAAGGAATTAGAAGAAAATGGTCCAGTTTTGCATAGGCAGGGAATTCATAAAGAAACAAGTCTGCTGAGATTGGCCTATGTCAAAGCCTCACAAAACCTCTTCTGACTTGGGCTGTCATTATCTGCAGCGGGGCCAGAACCCATATCCTTTCCAGGGAGCAAGGGAAAGCTCTCAGGGAAAGGCTTTGGAGCTGTGCTGACCCGTCACCCTAAAAGGATTCAACTTAGTTTACCTTTAGGGCTGAATTTACAGAGGCATAAAGCGACCACCAAAGCGCTTCTATGTTCCCCTACCCGCTGGTTAAATTCTTGAAATTCCATTAACAGGAAACACTTTGATTTCTTAGAAATATTTGACTATGGGAAGTAAAAAGACTGTCCCACACTTTCAAGGATGAGTTGGGGCTCTTTGATTTTTTTTTTTTTTCCTTGAAGGGGCAAGAAAATAGGGCTCCTGATGCCGGGAGTGGATTTTTCCTTGTGGAGGGAGAAATGGTACAGACGAGACTTCCTTCCCGAGCTTCACAAAATTGCCTCTGCAACTCTGCCTGTTCCCAATCTCTTTTCTGGATCATCGTTGTATCTCAATTATTTCTTAGCTTCCATTTTCAGTCCTGCTAATCTATCTTCCATCTGGCACTGGAACTGAGTACAACATCCAACTTCTTAAAATCATTTTTACTTTCTGAATAGACGCCAGATTGCCAAGGTTGATGGGGAAGTCGTGGCTGTCTCCCTTGAGATCGTAGCTGCCAGTAAGACCTGTTCATGCTCTCTCTCTCCTTTAAGTCTTTCTTGTGTTGGTAATGCGCGTCCCCTTGGCTAACTCTTGTGACCTTCAAGCCTCGGGTGTCACCTTTTTCAGGAAACCCACCCTGACAAACCATACATCCTTGAGTGTGTCTAACAGCACACAATTCTTACTGCGTTGTATTAGTTGGCTTGTATATATCCTGGATGAAACTGTGAATCTTGAGAGCTGGGCTTTGTCCTTTTATCAGGATTACTGAAGAGAACAGAATCCTGCCACAAAGATGCCTGTCATTAAGCTAAAGAGCTTCCTTTAAAAAAGTGATTTCAGATCATCTTAAAATGAATTGGTTTTATTTCTAGTTATACAAAGATAAATTTCCATGAAGAACAGGTATTCTGGTTACTCTAATCTTACATTAAAAAATTTTAATTTTTTTCAAAAGGTCCAGAGTTTGGAGCTCAAGCAATCATGGCTGCCTTGGGAATTTTTGTAAATAATGACAGTAGTGATCACTATCGCTGGGGACTTGCTTGTAAAACATTCTTATCAATACTTACAATTGGCTTAGAAAGTTAGATATCAAAGTGGATAAATCCAATTTTAACTCACCATTATGAGTTAAAATAACTGAATACTTAGTGCCTCCCACTCCCTACTTTTGTGTGTGTCAAGCTATAAAATCCCATTTGAACTAACTTAAATGTGTTTTCTTTGGAGGGAAAGTTAGGTTTACATCATAATTGATATTACTAAGTCAGAAAACTTCCTAAATTAAAGAAATGGAAACTCACCTATGGTCATTGCACTGACAATGTCAAAACATGGGCATTCGTATGTGTTCTCAAATTGGCATCTCATTGCAATCAAAACTACTGCTCCACCTATTTGGGGCAGGAGGCCCTAAGTCTCCAAGGAAAAACTGAAAGTTACACACAAACCAATCAGTTGGAGGAACCCTTGTTGTTTCCAAATACAAGGTATCTGTTGCTGTGAAGTGTTAACAGCTTTCACTCTAAATGTGTTCCTGACTCTGGAGTGCGGGGTGTGCCTCAGGAGAGTCAATCTGGATGCAAAAGCTTCCTAGCACAGCGTTTTTCTGGGGAGGGGAGCAGGTGTGTGGGCTCCAAGGGAAGGAGGGAATATGGGAGAGCAGAGGACAGGAACTACAATAATTTTGCATTTTTGAATACTGCACCATGAGTTGAGTGTATCTTCTTATGTCACTGAAATGGAGTTTATTAGTATTTAAGGCTCTTGATACATATTGCCAGGTTACTTTAAGAGTACACAGGAAAGCCTGCCTTTCTACCTTGTCCTATTTAATGACAACTACACGTGAAGAGTGTTCACAGTTCACAGGTTACTACGAGCTGAAACGTGAGGAACTGCCATTCTTTCTTCTGTGAGCTACTCATGTTTCCTTTCCTTTCCTATCATTTTTCTTAAATGTAAAAGTAGCAGTAACTGCCATTAGTTACAACTGCATTCCTTAACGTATTAATCACTTCCTCGGTGACTGATATTACTTTATGTTTATAGAGTTTTTATATCCTCAGAATCAAACCTTATCACAAAAATTCCAATCTTTTCTGATTCAGTTTTTCTCCACCTGCATTAACTTCCACTCTGGCAGTGACAGAGCAGCACATCCAGCGAACTTCCGGTCACCATTCCGACAGCAAGATCTCACACTGTATCTCACCTCCTGGGGCCTCCTTAGCATCGCACTCCACAGCCTTGTGTTTAGTTCCTTTAAGTATTTCTAGTGTCATTAATTAACATTAAAATTTTGTTCACTGAACTACATTCCTGCAGCTCAACTAGAATATAAAGTATTTGGGCAATCCCATGTACACCCTGATTTTATGCCTTTTGTTTGCGGCTACCATGGTTAAGTTTTTATTTCGAACAAACATAGAACACTTATCAGCTTTTAACATGGAGAGCTAACTAATTGGTTCTCCTTAACTCCTGATTAGCTAGCTGGCTACACACAGAGCATGTTAATTTCTACAGGCACCTTTCTGAATTCAAGTAAAAGTTTTGGTAGACAAGGATTTCCTACTCATATCATCAACATAATATGAAATTGAGTACAAATATTGCTCACTTTTCTTGCAGTCTTTAAATTATTTTACTTTTGAAAGTTCAAGAACTATCATTAAGTCATTAATAACATAAGTTTTCATTTAAGGAATATTTTGAACTGTGAAAATACAAACCTAGTCAAATTCTGAACACATATGAAGCCAAATATTTCAACAAAACTGCAGTTTAATTTCAGAAAATGTGTTAAAATATATATTTATACATCAATTTCTGACATACACTTAACGTGTTAGTATACACAAAATGATGCTTTCTCTTGAAACTGTATTTATGAAATGTACATTTTAATTTAAATACTCAGTATACACTGCACTTAATCTGCATGTTGCATTTATTAAATACATTAAAATCTGCAATGTAACAAAACGTTTTCTGCATACGAAATTCGAAACACCATTTTAAATGAACAAAAGATGGCTCACTTCATTTTTTTTTTTTTACAACTAGTGTATTGCACACTAGCTCAGCTCCACCATACTACCTGTTCGCTCTTTTTATTTGACATTGTTCACAGACTAGTACATATTACAATAAGAGTGCTGGATAAAAACATGAGGTACGGAAGTGGTTCAAAGATTATAGTCATGCAGATCATGCTAGACAGCAAAGAAATTGTGACCAAGAAAACACTAAATAAAAATACATAAAGAATGTGCATTATAAAAAAAAAAAAAAACTCCATTACACAGCTTTGCTTCTTTGGTTACAAAGTAGGTTGAACAATTTCACAGCTTTTTATTTCCCACCCGAAAAAAAAAGTCATACGAAATGTTGAAAAGCAGAGGAATCGTGGCAATTTCTCTATTAGAAAGTAGAAACAAATGAACAAAGTTTTCTTCATCAAAATAGCCCAATTATTTATTATATCACAATAACTGGTGGCTACCTGTACAGTTGCACTATGTTCTTCATACTTACACTATACAAAATTTACATTCAAGCTGGGTCTTTACTACTGGAAATAAATACCAAAGGTAAATTGCCATTAGTGTTAGAAATATGCCAGGATTCTTTTGTTCAATTATTGCCTAAACGGTTTATCTATTAAATGCAATCCTGTCTTTCAATTCCTTTACTGATACTTATAATTATTCAAAAAAATTAAAAAAGTTCTGTGACACTGTTCATGTACATTATGAAAATAGCAGCCCTGTAATAAATAAAACACAAATAAATGAAAACTTACGTAGGCAAATGTTACTGATATTGAAAGAAAGTGGCTCTCTGGATAAACTGTTATTTATAATGTGAGAGGAAGGCTCAGGGTAAATCCATGGGTAATAGGAAACATGGGAGAGCCACCGAAACTCTTAAAGATCCCACTCATGCGCACCAGGTAAAATGCAGACTTTGCTCGCTTTAATAAACCCCATCTATCATTCTCCTTGTGGACTGATGACATAGAACTGGACATCAACAGCGCTGCATGACATCTCAGAGAGAGGAAAGCTCCTGCAGAATGATTGTCTAATACTGAGAAGGCCAAACACACAACCAAAGCACGGCTACTTGCTTTCGTATAAAGTGGCAGGAACACCAGTGGCACACAGGATAGGTTGCTTTCAGTTTTTCTTCGCGAGGCTTAAGAGAGCTTTATGCGGAGGAGACATTCGGCTGCTGCGGAGGGTGCTGCGAGGGCTGTGCTATGGCCGCTTGCTGCTGAGAAGTGCTACCGGGACTGGCCTGCTGGGCGGGGAGCTGGGATAACTGATCATTGTTGGAAAGAGATTTTAACAGTGCATTTTCCCGTTCAAGTAAAGAGTTTCTTTCTACTAATTCTTTTATTTGTTCCTTTAGAACTTCCACTTCTTCTCTTACTGCATACATCAAATGGCTTTTCACCAGGTCCTGTGGAAAAAAAAATTAGGAATGTCAAAAAAAAAAAAAAAAAAAAAAAAGAAAACAAAAGTGGAGTTTATTAGCTTCCTACTTGGTGGCTTGTAAGGTATTTTTACATTAATTTTCTTGCTCTTGTTTTAACGTTTCTTTACTGGGCCTATGGAAAGCAGGATTTTCTTTTGAAGTTTAGAATGACTGCAAGAAATATTTGCCTGCTAAGTTGTCAATTACAAGCTCTGATATTTTTTCAAAAGTTTAAAATCACACGCTTAGATGTTCGATCTAGAGGACAAAGGAATATGCCAATGGAAAGCTGTCTGATACGAGTCATAGCACTGATTTAGAGAAAGTGACTTTCCATTTTTGACTTTAAAAATCTTAGGATTAAAAAAATCGTTCAAAGCTGATGATCTTCATTTATAGCTTATCCACAGCTTTAATAAATTTTAATCAAAATTTTTTATATACCATGAGCAGGATATATTTATGGGAACATAAAAATTGATAACAGCAGAAATCAGAACCAGGAATAAGTCTACTTACTAAAGCTGAATGAAACAGTACCTGAAATGATCAAAAGATGACAAAGATTTTTCAGCTCAAGTTATCACTCTAATAGTCTTATCTCTAATCCATTTTGAATACTAAAATATTTTGGTAACATAATTATGTATGTCTTCCCTCAAATAGCTCTTAATGAAAAATTGAGATTTTTTAAAATGGTAGTATTTCTAAACTAAAAATTCTTAATGTCTTTTCCATCTTCAACCAAATCTCATTATCAAAAAGTATAATTTGGTCATCTTTGGTTTCAAGAACCTAGATGTTGGTTTCCTAGAATAGATAAAAACCAAGGACTTCATGTAATCAACAATTTATGAATGACAGAACTATAAACTTTTACTCACCATTGCTTGTTCTATTTTGTTGTCAATGGCTACAACACCTCCCCCAGATGCACTGGAAAAAATTAGAATATTTCATTAAATTATTCTAAAAAATTTAACCATCCTTCGAAATCTTCAAATAATGTAAAAGACATTTGTGTTTTCCATAAAACCAAATATAATACTTTAAAATAGCTTATTAAAGTCTATTCTCAGAAGTTTAATACTAATAAGAGGTTCCATTTAAAAAATTTTGAAGGTCTGATTAATAGATAACTTTCCAAAACACTTTGTAGTTTCATCAGTTCTAATTTGCCTATGGTATATATATTCATATACGAGTGCTACTTTAAAAGTAATTTTTAATTCTTCTCAGTTCTCAATTTTAAATGGTCTTAAAAGGACACATTTTGAATGAGCTGTACTGTCCTTATCTTTTAAATTTCATTAACTAACTATAAATTCTAATTGCCTTTCATGTGGAAATCCCAGTGATTACTTATTGCGTTAAATCTGAGATAATCATTTTCTATACATTTTATATTTTAACACTTAATTTTTAAATTTGTAGAACTGGTTTCTAAAAATGATTCAGAGGGCTTTTGGGCAGGGTTGGTTAACAAGCTTAACATTTTGGCAGACCCATATGCTTGGACTGTAGGTTACTTGCTGGAAAAAAACACCTAATAAGGTAGGTGGTTGAGACCAGTTTTTCCTGAAAATCATCTAAAGTATTCTATGCAGTAAGTACATTCCAAATTCAAATATCACTTCAGCATTTATATGATAATGACACAGAATGCTGAATTGTCCTCCTCGGAAATGTATATTCTCCTACGTACTAACTTAAATAATGACAGTAACAAGAATGTATATCCTATTCTTGGTATTTTCACAAATTTTGAAAAACTTTTTATTACTCTTGGAAAGAAAAATCTGGTACTTTATTGTATCAATATAAAATTTTAAATAATTTTTATTCAAAATATTACTACTCTTCATAAAGATCCTGAGAAGATTCTGGTTCTAAGATGGCTGAAGACTATTTTAGTTAGATGATATGAACCCATAATGTTCTATCAGATTGAGGTTCAGAAATCTACTGTCCAATGTAGTTATGCCGTTTATAGTGTAATCTGAGAAGACCTGGTCATAATCCTGGCTCTGCGACTCACTATCTGTATGTCCATCAGCAAATCATCTATTTAACTTTCTTGGACATTGGTTTCCTCGTTTGTAAAATCAAGGAGTTGGTGTCAATGCCTCATTGAACTTTCCAATTCTAAATCCTTCAAATTCTGAATTATAGATGGCAAACACTAAATTTGTTTACTTGAGCACGAACCACATTAATTACAGCATACTACATCTCTTGTTGCAATTTTTAAGATGAAAAGGGGCTCTGTATAGCTAATAACTGGAAAAGATATACATCTCATTAACAAGTACTTTATGCATGTTGGACTTTAAATGTTTGTAGAGAGCCCTGTAAAGCAAAGTATAACTACATGCAACTATAAACTACAGAACTACATAAATCATAAGCCTTAATGTAAAACTCCGTGACAGATACCATGTAAATATATTTACCACAAATGTCAACTTCAATCTGGCCAGAAAAACAAAAATGATAGGCATTTATATAACTGTTTGCTTGAGAATCCCAGATTGTATTTTGTTTTATTTTGTTACGGAAAGATTAAATCACTTTTAAGTTATTTCATGACTTTTGATTCCTTTAACAAATCTGGTTTAAACTGAATAGTTTAAATGCTAACAAACAGTTTTATATATCAACAAGCAACTAAAAAAAAAAAACTTAAAGGGGTTTAAAATGATCAGCAAATGTCCGAATCATTCTTGTAGCTAAGAAATAGTATTTAATGTTGATCTAACAAACTGCTGTCCCAACTCAGACTCTGTACAGTAACAGAGGAAATAGGCTTGCAAGGTATAAATGGATCGTATTGAAGATATGCACCTGTTAAAAGGTATTATTGGGGCTGGTGCTGTGTCGTAACCGGTGAAGCCCCCGCCTACAGTGCTAGCATCCCATATGGGTGCTGGCTTGAGTCCTGGCTGCTCCACTTCCGATCCAGCTCCCTGCTAATGTGCCTGGGAAAGCAGCAGAAGATGGCCCCAAGTCCTTGGACTCCTGCACCTACGTGGGAGATCCGGAAGAAGCGCCTGGCTTTGGATATGCCCAGCTCTGGCCATTGCAGCCATCTGGTGAGTGAACCAGCAAATGGAAAACATCTCTCTTTCTGCCTCTCTCTGTAACTCTGCCTTTCAAATAGATAAATAAATCTTTAAAGAAAAAAAGTTATTATTATTTAAATTCTGTTGAGCTTTGTATACTAACAATCAGTTAGAGGTACAATTATTATTACTATCATGACTTGTGACTATTGGAAGTTATTATTTAACAATGCAATAACCTATTGCAGTGGACTCAAACTTTGGCATGCAGCACTCATCTAGAGATCTTGCTAAAACAGACTGCTGGGCTCCACTTCAAAGTTTCTGACTCAGTAGGTATGAGGTGGGCTTCAGAAAAGTGCATTTCTAACAAGTTCCCAGGCGATGCTGATTGTGCAGCCACACCATGGTTTGAGAACCACTGGCTTACAGTTACAGAAGAATGAATAAAAAAACCCCATAATTCTATTTTTAAAACTTTGACCTCTGCTCTACATAGTCTCTCTTCCTCTTACACTCCTTTTGGCTCACTGTGTTATGGCCTTATATAACTCAGCAATCTGTGGAACATATGTTCTTGCAGGTTTCCTTGGCGTTTCAGAAACTGCCCACTCAGCTGGAAATGCTCACAGATCCAATTCATCCGGCTATCTTTTACTCATCACTTATCATGATCCAGTGTCCTCTCTTCTGTGCTCCCTTCCGATTTCCTAAGGTAGAGCCAATTATCCTAACCATCCTGTGGCCCACCGATATTCACATACTTATAGTGTAGGAGGGCAGACCAGCAAATTCTGCCTCTTCCGTATATCCTCTGTAAGAATCCTGGGAAAATATGCAACCCTCTGCAGTTCAATCTAAAATAAGGGTTACATGCCCTAATTCATAAAATTCCTGTAAGAATTAAGTGAGGTAAAATAGTACTCAGTGTGGGGCTGGTGCTGTGGCATAGTTGGTAAAGCCGATGCCTGCAGTGCAAGCATCCTATATGGGCGCTGGTTCAAGTCCCGGCTTCTCCACTTCCAATCCAGTTCTCTGCTATGGCCTGAGAAAGCAGCAGCAGATAACCCAAGCTCCTGGCTCCTGGCTTCAGATCAGCCCAGCTCCTGTCACTGCGACCATTTGGGGAGTGAACCAGAGCATGGAAGATGCCCTCCCCCCGACCTTGCCTCTGCTTCTCTAATAAAGAGAGGGGGGAGAAAGGGGAGAGAGATGAAGAGAGAGAGGGAAGTCTTCCATCTGCTGGTTCACTCCCTAACAAATAAATCTTTTAAAAAAATAATAGTGTGCTTGCTGGCACACTGAGCACTCAATACCTGATAGTAATTTCTTTTACTATTATACTACCCCTAATGATTCTGATGGAGCATTTTGAGGGCGGTTTCCTATCTGTTTCACTCTGGTAAAAGAGCAAACAGTGCTGGCCGGCGCCAGGGCTCACTAGGCTAATCCTCCGCCTTGCGGCACCGGCACACCGGGTTCTAGTCCTGGTCGGGGCGCCAGATTCTGTCCCGGTTGCCCCTCTTGCAGGCCAGCTCTCTACTGTGGCCCGGGAGTGCAGTAGAGGATGGCCCAGGTGCTTGGGCCCTGCACCCCATGGGAGACCAGGATAAGTACCTGGCTCCTGCCTTCGGATAGGCGCGGTGCGCTGGCTGCAGCATGCAGGCCGCAGCGGCCATTGGAGGGTGAACCAACAGCAAAGGAAGACCTTTCTCTCTGTCCACTCTGTCGACACATGAAAAAATGCTCAGGAAAAAATAGGAGAGAGAGAGAGCAAACAGTGCTGACAGGGGCTCAAATCCATAAAGATAAACTCGATCTGCATCAATTTTTTTAAATAGAAAACTTCTGGAGTATAGTGGTAATCTGCATCAAGTAATGGCTTATGTGAGAAAACCATTCAAATATTTTGAAGTTGCACAAATCGGTCATTTTAAAATTATAGTCCTTGGACCAGGAGCATCAATCAGCATCACCAAGGTACTTGTTAGAAATGCAACTATTTTGGGGCCTGGGTGTGGTAAAGCGGGTGAAGTTGCTGCCTGCAAAGCCAGCGTTCCACGTTGGGGTGGCTATCCCAGCTATTCTGCTTCCCATCTGGATCTCTGCTAATGTGCATTGGAAGGAGGCACACAACCGCCCAAGTGCATAGGCTCTTATCACTCACACAGGAGACCCAGTTGAAGTTCTTGGCCCCTGGCTTTGGCCTGGCCCAGCTCCACCTGTTTCAGCTATTTAGGGAGTGAATAAGCAGGTGAAAGATCTGTCTCTCTCTCTGTCACTTTGTCTTTCAAATAATTTTTTTTTTAAAGGAAGTATTTGGACACACTTGGGATGGGGCAAGATAATCTATTTTAGTATGATCTTCAAGTGATTTCTGATAGAAACTGAAGATTGAGAATCAGTACTTTAAACGGTCAGTTTGATAATCAAGATACTAATATGGTAGTCCTAAGCAAACATGGTCTAAAAATACTGTTTCATGGAGGGTAGCAGGGGGTTTTCTATTGTGTTCAAAGTCGGCATGGTGTTTTGCTCTTTTAAAATGAGAAAGATAGGGGCCGGCGCTGTGGCTCACTTGGTTAATCCTCTGCCTGCGGCGCCAGCATCCCATATGGGTGCCGGGTTCTAGTCCCAGTTGCTCCTCTTCCAGTCCACTCTGCTGTGGCCCAGGAGGGCAGAGGAGGATGCACTCGCATGGGAGACCAGGAAGAAGCACCTGGCTCCTGGCTTTGGATCAGCACAGTGCCGGCCGTAGTGGCCATTTGGGGAGTGAACCAACAGAAGGAAGACCTTTCTCTTTGTCTCCCTCTCTCTCACTGTCTGTAACTCTACCTGTCAAATAAATAAAAAAAAAGAGAAAGATAAACTCAA